TGGGGCTGCGGCCGCAGGCCGGGAGCGGCGAGGGGCCCGCGGGCCGTGCATGGAGCGCGCCGCGGCCCCTCCGAGCCGCGGCGCTCCCCGGGGCAGGGGCCTCGCTGCCCGGCGGCTCCCCGCGCAGCGTTGCCCGGGACGCGCGCCCGCCCGGCCGGCGGAGCGTGTGCGGCGGTGCGGGCCTCCCTCCAGGTCGCTTGCCTGCCCCCGAAGCCGCCCCCGCGTCCCGGGGCAGCTCTTTATTTATTAATTAACGAGTCCGCGGGGGAAACGCGGCTCACTGGGAGAAGTTGTCCCCCCCCCCCGCGCTGCGAGACACGCATTAAAAGGCCAGCTATTCTGTTGAGTTGGTTGTCTGCTTTTTCCCACTGTGTCCTTTGCCAGCAGAAGAACAGCTGGTAAAACGGGGTTATAAGGATGTTTTGATCTGTGTTTTGCAGTTGAGACTTTAATATTTGGATGGAAATCTGTCTTCGTTCCAGTTGGTTCTTCTGATAGCATTTATAACCTTGAAGGGAGTTTTTTTCCTTTGGAGAAAGAGTTATTTAAGAAAAGGAGCTGTGAGAAGACACGAAGAAAAGAAGACCTCGCAAGGCTGGGGGAAATGTCTGGATATAAACTCAGGTTGGACTTACAGATTCCAGGCTCTTGACTGCTGGAGGACATCAGTTTATCGCCCTTGCTTTGCGGGAAAGCAGCGTGTTGGATCTGCCCTAAAACTATTTAAGAGCACCACGCCCAGCCGAGACCCGGGGCGGCCACCCGGCCTTCTGGACTCCACGACAGACCATGAACATGAGACCCCCTCCGACAGCGCTGGACAGGTAATGCTCGGTCGCGTGGCTGCGCTTTCCCCCTCACCTTTCCGGGGGCCCAGCCTTTGTGGGCTCCGGGTCATTTATGAATGGGAGAGTTTCAGGGCATGCAGAGGAGGAACGACTGGCTCTTTGAGGTTTCCAGTGGGTTGGCCTTTACTCAAGGCGTTGGTAATGGTCATGCGACTTGGCCCTGTGTTTTAGGAAATGCCCCGTGTGTTGTCTGCCTCTCTGTGGGAATCACTTTCGGCTGTGAGTTCATGTTTTTCAAAAACTGCCTTTTCAGTAAATGAACTCTGCGCAGCTTGTCACTTTTTCCTTTGCCTTCCCTTTTCCTTGGTTTGGTCTGCAGAGGCAGCTGCCGGCTTTTGGCTCGCCTGCAGGTTTTTAAAGCACGTCCAGAGGAATCCTCGGAGGTTCCTTAGTGGGGGATTGGCCTCGGTCGTGGCAGATGAGGGTGCTCTGCCTCTGCTTGGTCTTGTGTGTATTTTGAGGTGCCCAGTCAGTGCACTCTGGACCATGTGAAGGGCCAGCTGGCCAGTGCGCGGCCCGAGTGACCCACTGGTGCCCTGCTAGGCAGTGCCCCAGAATCCTTTGTGTCGTGCGTGGCTTCCAGGTGAGGAGAGTGTCATTCGGAGGATAAATGCTGTGCAAGCCGTTGGCCGCCACCCTCTCCTGAGGCACTCTTTGTCGGGTGCCCCATCCCACTGAGGTTGAAAGCTGCTGCCGTGGTCTGGGGGACACTTGTGGGAGACCACGCCAGCTGGCTGCCGCCACAGGAAGTCTTGGCGGTGGTGCGGACCTGTGTTGGGATGTGCGCAAGCCCCATGGGAGCTGCTGGTAGCAGGCAGAGCTGATTCTGGCCACAAACGCTGCATCCGAGCTCTGCAGGAACGCCTGTGTGGCTTGCTGGCGCGTGGCGCTGCCATGTTCAGAAGCAGCAGAGCTCTGCATCCGTGGGGCTGGGAGGTGGCTGTGCTTTCATGTCCTGCTCGTGGGCTTCCTGAAGGGGGTGGCGCCGGACCCCGTGGTCTGACCCAGTCACAGGGCTGTCCTTCTGCTCTAAATGCTTTCATAGCCAAAAATGCCCCCGGGGGAAGCTTTTAGTGATGGGGTGACCCATACATTTCAGAAATGAATAGTATGAGGTGGCAAAGACATGCGCCTGCCCGTCTGTTGGCACCATAAGCACCACGACCACGTGAGTGCGACACCGAGAACCTGGTGTGGCTCCCAAGAGGGCCTTTGCACCTCCGGATTAATGAGCTTTTCGACCCCGTTGGCTCATTCTAAGCGCTGCAGGTGTGTCTGTGATACCAAAGCCTGGAGCAGCATCTTCTGCACCTGATCTCCTGTATTCATGCCCCTGGCCTGGATTTTTTGAGATGCAGGATTTTTCACACGTATCTCGGTTGAATTTCATCTTGCTGGTTTGGGCCCCGCGTTCCACCCATGCAAGGTCCATTTGAATCTAGATACCACGTTCTGTCATGTTGCTCCCCCTCCCAGTTTTCGTGTCTGCAGGTGGGGTAGCCTCACTCTGTGCCCCTGCTGCAGGCCGTGACGGAGAGGCCAAGCTCTCTGGAGCTTTCCGGAGCTTTCCCTGCCGGTTGCCGGACAGCCATTCAGGAGCACCCCTTGTGTCCTCCTGTTCAAGCTGCTGTGATCCCCCTGCAGCAGTACCTTTGCCCAGGCTGCAGGTTGCCATCCTGACAGCAAGGACAGCAGGGCAGACCCTGCCAGGAGCTTTGCTGAAGACAAGCTCGCCAGTGCTGTCGGGTCACCCGCCCTGGCGGGCAGCAGCGCTGCAGGTGGGCTTTCCCAGCCCAGGACCCCACAGCCTTTAGGTGAAAGATGCCAGGGTACTGGGGAGCCGGCGTACGGAGCTGGTGCTGCGGCCTGTTGCCGGCTCTGCCATCCCGCAGCGGCTGCCGCCCCTTATGTGGAAGGAGCCCTCCGGGCTGCTCCTGTTGTTTAATGCTGAGCAGAGGGAATGGCCACTGGGACATGCTGCCTTCCCAGCCGGGAGCCCCCAAGTGCCCAGGCGTCCCAAGCCCAGGGTCCTCTTGTCTGGGGCCTGTCCGGTGCTGGGGGACCAGGGTATTGGTAATCCAGCCTCCTCTGGCCTTGTCTTGACACGTGCTAGTTCGTTTATTAACATTTATTAATAATGTGCGCCAGGCATCCTCACGGAAATGGGGGTCCGCAGGAATACAGTTTTCCGAAATAATAAGGAAAGGAAAGGAGCTCGGGGTTTATGTTTGGTTCCTTGAAGATACGGAGAAAAATGTAGCCTTGCGGCTGTGGAACGCAGGCTTTGTGTGTCCAAGTCCCCAGGTGCAGCTGGGAAGGGCTTCTGCCGTGGAGTGAGGAGAGCTGCAGCTGCCAGGCAGTGTCTGCCGCATGGGGCGAGGCTGAGCGAGGGTGTGACGTGGTGGAAAGGCAGCTCTCCGCCTCCCCGGCAACGTGCATCCTTCCATGCAGCGGCTCTGGGACGGGAGCTGGTTGCGTAACCGTGGTGACCAGTGGCCTTTGGAAGGAGCATCCTCTGTGAATTCGTCAGCCCCCCGCTTTGAAGCCCCCCAGGCTGGAAGCTCTCGCTAACTGTCCGGACTGCGGACAAGGCTCTGCCGTGGGAGTAGCGAAACGGGGATGGCGAGGGAGTGCCGCGTGCCGCTGAGAACGGCAGCTCCTGGCTGCCCTCTGTGCTCCGCGCCTTGGCGCTACTTGGACGTCTTCCGGAGCCGCCGCCGCTGCAGCCCACGTCCATCCCATGGGAGATCAGATTGACGGTCTGGAGGGGGGCTGGAAGGTGGCTTCATCATTCTGAATGTTAAGGGATGTGGACGGAGGCTGGTCGGCCGGCCGCCTGGCAGCCCGGAGGCTGGTCGGCCGGCCGCCTGGCAGCCCAGCGGCTGGAGAAGCCCCTCGACTCCCCCCCCCCCCTGCCCAGACTCAAGGCCTTAAGCACAGAAAGTGGAAGCGTTCCTCTGTCCAGCCCGGCCTTGAATCACGGTCTCCGAGTCGGCTCTGGAGAGCTGCCCGAGGATCTGGAGGTGTCGTGCAAAGCCCAGAGGGATCCAGGCTTCTCTCTAGCGAATCGTCTCGGCTGCCGCCAGTGTGGGCTTCCGCTCCCTGCTGGGAATGGAGACGGTGCTTGAGAGAGGGGCCTGCGGCAGCTCACAGCCCGAGCGTGTCTGGGTCACCTCACAACCCGGCAGAGGAGGGACTTCGTGCCCAAGCAGGGAGGCGGCTGACCTGCAGGCTAACTTAGGGGCCAGAGGACTGTGCTGCATCAGACCCACCATCCTTCTGGCCCCGCATTCTGTCCACACAACAGGCTGCCCGCGAGGAAGCCACAGGCTGCAGCACCCTTCTGCCCGTGACCCCCGGCCACCGAGCACACGGCATGCTGCCTCTGATGTGGGAGGCAGCCTCGTCGCCAATGGGAACGCTCCCCAGGGGTTGTCTGGTCCCCTTTCGAGGCATCCTGGCCTTGGTAGAAGCTCCTTCCATAGCTGAAGCTCGATCCCTCTGTGCCGTGGCAGCTTCGGATGGGCACTCAGGGGCTTCGCTGGCCAAGTCAATTGCTGCTCTCGGATTCCTGCCCATGTGGAGACATAACTGAAATAAGGGCTTACTGTTCTGCTTTCAAGCAGACCCTTCCAAGGGCCTGCTAGGAGGACAGGTAAGGGAGGGCGTTAAGGGGATGAGGGTTAGGGTTAGGGTTAGGGTTAGGGTTAGGGTAACCCTAACCCTAACCCTAACCCTAACCCCATGCCTCTCACCGCCTTACAGGCCTCTCCATCCTCCCTAGGGGGCTTCATTCTTCCCTCCCCTTCCAAATGATGCTCACCTGGAAGTGGGGAGTTCTAGCTGAGGGCAGATTTTGCAGCCAGTGGCCCTGGTGGTCACCCCAGGCAGCCCCGTCTCTGAATTTGCTTACCGGATTACAATATTGGAAGCTCACGGGCGTGTGTCAAAGCCCGTTAACAGCCCGGAAAGACATGCCTCTGACTCAGAAGATGGGCAGGCCAGTTTCTCTGCTGGCAAGACTCCCCTGGTTGGCTGGGCGGTTAGCGCTTGTCTCTGTCCCTGGCTTCCAGCATTGGGGAGAGTCCCATGTGGTGAGCTGGAATCTTACTCAGAGCCACTTGCAAAGCTCTTGCTGCTGAGTGACCCACTTTGAAGACTTGATCCTGTCCCCCCCAGCCCCTAATCTTATAATTGCAGCATTTGGTTCCACTCCAGCTCCTGAAGCAGCAGCGCTTTATCATCAGCCTTGTCTGCGTCTTTTGCCTTCCTTTCTTTTTTCCAGTGTCAGTTGTGGTGGATGGCTGGCTGTACCCTTCCTTGCCTTGCCTGTAAACCCAGAGGAGTTTCCTCTTTGCCTCCTCCCATTCCCCCACAACCTCCATCTAGTACAAGCCCAGAGAGGAAATGCAGCAAAACTGAAGGTGAGAGAGATGCCCATGCATTTGCTTTAGGGCCGCTTTTGAGCGGTCAAGGTCACTGTTCCCTCCAGGGTGGCCAATTCCCGTTGACTGAAATGTCTTCTAGAAGGGCAGACGCCGGTGGAAGCGGAAGCAAGCACTGCTCTGTCGGTTGGCATTAAGAAACCCTGACCTTGATTTAACTCCGGTGTGGTTCAGACTGAGGCTTATCATTCCAGCTTGCTGGAGAGCGGCAGGCCAGGGGCTCCTGTATGGATGTAACGTTAAACAAACACGGACGGAGGTTTCCTGGTTTGCTTAGCCATCCGTGTGGGCACCAAACGAGGATGCTCCGGGTCACGCTTGACTTGTTGCTGCTGAGACAGCCTTCGCCATTATTGGTGTGATGATCTGAACTGGCCAGAGACACGCGGGCCGTTTAGACCTCTGTGAATGGTGCATAAAGGAAAGATTTGCAAGATACAGGGTCAAATTAGTGAAAGTCGTTCTTTCTGGCTTTGTGTAGCCATGGCTATTTTAGCGGAGTGGGTAGCCAGCCAGCCAGCCAGCCAGCGTGGCTTCGCACAGTGCCTGTGTTTGGCTGGGCTTCTGCCGATTGCCTGGAATGGGGGCACCTGGAGGATCTCACCCACGTCCGGATTCCTTACACCTCAGCGCTTGCTGAGCACGGCCGTGGGCTCTGCCTGGAGGGTCCCCTGCTCTTAGTTCCAGCCGAACGAGCGGTCCCTGAAGGCGATGAACAGCCCTGCTGGGAGGCAGAGCCCCCTCCAAGGATGCTTCTCCCTCCAGGCTGACGGATGCACCGGGTGGCATTCCCACATTCTGCCAGCTGTGCTAGCCGCCCCGAGCCCTTCTTGAGGACAGTGCCCAAGAAGCAGCGACGGGAGCAATGCCGGTCAGTTGCAGTAAGCGGAATGGTGGCAGTAGCGTTCTCTTTCTTGCTGATATCGTGTCCCCGAGTGTATGGAGAAAATAATTGTGCAGACCAAAATGCCTGTGCTTCCAACGTGCCTTTTGGGAGCAGACAGGGTGGGTGACGGGTGGGCCCTTATGGGATGGCTCTGCGTGCTCCGGGAAGGTGGGGTGGGCAGCTCTGGCCAGAGAGTCAGTGGAAATTTCAAATTATCTGTGCCTGCCACTCTCTGGCTTGGCAAAGGAAGATGGAGGGGAAAAACAGAACTCGGGCGGTGGGGGCAAAGGGAGCACTGATCAGATGGAACGAGGATGTAATTACCTTCCTCTGCCTCCTCCATGCCTGTAATTGTGGTTTCGGGGAGACATTCCTTCATGGAAATCTGCTTGCTGGAGCACAGCGCTGAGGCGTGCGCAGGGCCATGCTTTCCTCTTCCGGGGAAGGGATGGCTGCCCTGCCGCCCTCCCCCATCCCCATCCTCCTCCTCCTCCTCCTCTTGCTCCGATCCCGTTCTCTGCCCTCGCTCACCCTGGGCAGCTTCCCCGCCTCTGCCAGCCCCTTATTTGCGGCACAAAGACCGAGCGAGGCATGCGGCTGCTTTGGCCGGGGCGGCTGCTTGTGCTGATGGAGCATTTGTCCGTGTCCCACAGAGCTTCCTTGCCAGACTTTCCCCAAACAAGCTCCCATTTGCACGCATTTGCCTGTCACAGTCTGGGTGGGGGGGAGCTTGGGGGAGGCGGGGAAACCCTGAAGGGCCAAGCGGCGTTTCAACCAGAGTTCCTTCTCAGGCGGACGTCTCGGTGGGTTTGTCCAGATGGAAACCGTTTCCTTGAGCAATCGGGGGAGAGTAACATACCATCTCTGTCTTAAGGGTAGGGGGAAGAGAAAGCTCTGAGCAAGGTTGCGTCTTTTTCCTTCGAAGGCCACACAACAAGTTGGGGTCGGGCCCACATTAACAGAGTGAAGAAGTCTGGAATTCCTGGCCTCCAGGCCGAAACCACAGTGAGCTGGAAGGCTTAATTTGCTGCTGCGCCTCTGGCCTTGTGCTAAGACGCTTCCACTTAGCCGAGGCATCTTCTCTGCGGGGTCAAAGCTGGTGGCCGCCCAACCTCCCTGTGGAGCATCTTCCCGTGCCGTCAGCGAGCCTCACCGGGGCCCTTCCAGCTTACTCACGGAGCACAGAGCAGCCTCCTCCCCTTGGTTGGGCTGTGGCTGGCATTGGCCCCACTGGCTGAAGCTGTGGCATCTGGGGTCCAAAACCTCCCGCAGGCCCCTGCGGCGCTGAAATGCCAGGCTCCAGAACCCCTGCGCATCAGTGGGGTTGCAGAACGGTGTGACCAGGGGTGGATCACAGCCACAGCCCTGTATCCGGTCCTGTCCTGGCTGATGGGAGGGGGGAAGAAAAAAGCATGGGCGCCCCAATACGCAAGCCCTTAAAGGTGCTTGGGACTCTGCAGAGCTCAAGAAGCCTAGACCGTGTGCCAGGAGCCGTTTCGATCTCCCCTAGCAGGAGAGGGACCTTTTACAGATGGGAAAGGTGCAGAAATGAGTGCAAGGTAATACAGGGGTCGGAGCGCCTTCCTTTGAGAAAAGGGAGCACAGCATATAAAGCTCTTCAGTTCGGTGGGAGAAGAGATGGCTGCGTGTGTGTGTGTGTCTCAGCCCAAGTTCATAGGCACACGCCCAGGATGGAGAAGTGGGTGGCAGGAGAGCTTCCTCCGCTCTCACACACGGGAACGCTGAACCATCCGAGGATGTGGGCTGTAGGTCCTGGGCAGGCGGAAGAGGTGTTCTCCACACCACGGACCTAGTGGGGCCGCTGCCGCAGGGGTTGCGATGGTGGCTGCTGGCTTGGAAGGGGGCTGAGTGAGCCCTGAGGAGGGCAGGTCTGTGGGAGGCCTGCGCGCGGAGTGGGAGGCCGCCTGTCCCGGATGCCGCAGGGCGGGAGGGCTGCTCGGGCGAGCTGGATGCTTGCTGGAGGGAGCCGTGCTGCTCGGGCCCGGAAGAGCACTCCTTGGCTGCTGCTGCTGTTTCGCCTCCTCCCTCCTGATTCCCTTTCCTTCAGTGTCGTGTCTTTTAGAGGGTCACCCTGTTGGCCTGGGTTGTCCCGTTTCTGAACTTTGCGAGCCATCCTGGGAGCCTTCTGCACTGAAGGGCAGAGCAAAAGTGCCGTGAATTAAAACACTGGAAGGTTTTTGCCTTCATCCAGTAAAAGGAACTTGCACATTCTCAGAGGCGATTTGTGTGGCCTCCATGGCTTTTCTCGTGGGCAAGGGATAAACAGCCCTGTGGTAGGTGCGGAGGCATTTCATCCTGGAGCGGCTCAAAAAAAGCCCACTTGGGGCCACACGCAGAGAAGGGGAACCCGGCCTTCCCGTGCCGCACGCCTGCCTTTTCATGCACGTCTCTCTCTCTCTCTCTTTGTCTCCCTCCACACGCTCCTCTGCCCTGGCCCGGTCTTGGCCGACGCCATCCTTGTCTTTGATGTCAATTTCTGTCTTTCCCTTCTTTACAACAGACCAGCCAGTAAAAAGCACGCTCACCTGCCCAGGTAAGATAGGAGCGGGGCGAATGATTGGTGGCATGTGCTTCCCATGTCGAAATGGTCAGTGTTGTTTCTGAAAACATCATCTGTGGGTGGCTGAGCGTCACGACTGGCCTTTCGTGGAGCTTTCCGGAAAGCCCTGGCTTGACACGGCCGCGAGGCTTGGCCCGCAGGCCCATTGTCCCCGCCGCACACACCAAGGCAGGCACGGTTCTCATGCCAAGCCCCTGAACATCAGCTTGGCGTCCGCCCTCTTGGCGTGTGCGGATCGCTGCCGTGGGAGCTTCGCCAGAGGCGCGCTGGGGGAGCATGGTGGAAGAGCGGTGCCCCCGCGGAGCCTGGTCCTCTGTCTGCAGCGCCTCCTTCTCCTGGAGCTTGGGGGTGGCTGTTGGCGCTTGGAGACTACCCAGGCCAGTGCTGCTGAGCTCCCGCTGCCCAACTCCTGAGCCCCTCCGCCTCGGTTTTCCATCCGTTGGCCCTCTGCATGGCGCATCCTCGTGCCCAGAAGGGAGGAATCGCTGCTGGAGGCGGCAGCGGCATCTCTGGAATAGGTGGCACGTCCCTTGAGGTTGGTGTTCCTTGGAAAGGACTTGGAGGTGTCCGCGCAGGCTGGCTCTGCCTGCCCTTTGCCGTTTGACTTGCTTGGCCGCCTCGTTCCTGATGGTGGCCGGATGGAAGCAGCACGCACGTTCCGATGAGTCGTGGTTCTTGTGGCATGAAGCCGCCTGGTTTATCACAGAACGGGGAGTTGCCCTGGGCCCGCGGCAGGCTTTTCACCCAGGGGGGTGCTGGGGTCTTTCTGAGCCGCACTAGCTGAGATGTGCTCTGAGGCAGGCGCCTGGCACCCCGGAGGCGGCACCGCAGCCCCGCTCTCTCCTCGGGGCTCCGGGGCTGCAGTGGCAGCGGCAGTGCCAGTTAATCACCGGGAGAGAGCACAGCCTGCCGTCCCACTTGGCCTCCGGAAGCCGGCTCCTGAGGCCGGGCCATCGTTCAGGAGGGGCATAGACCACGAATTAAAACAAAACAAAACAAAACTGAATTTTCCACATCCTGTGGAGTATTTTTTTAAAAATCCATGATTGGCACAGGTACATTTGCCTGGTGAATAAACAGGTACCTCCAGGCCAGGCAGGAGTCTCTGCCTCCACTGAGAGATGGTGAGTGGGGGGATGTTAGGCCCCCCAAATGATGCACCTCCTTGGGCCATGTCGCTGCGCACACGGCCGGCAGCGCAAGGGCCCGATTTAACTGTCTGCTGTTGTCTGTCTTTCCATCTGTTGCCACCTTGTCTTGTGTTCTTCCATCAGCCCCATTGCAGCCTGGTAAGCCCTGGCATTGCTCTCCTCCCCGTGCGCGTCCTTGTGGCCGGCCGCCCGCCCGCTCGCTCCCTTTCCCCTCCTCTGGCCGCCCTCCGCGGTGGCCCGGCTTCCTCCTTCCCTCGGCATCTTTGGCACGGGTTCAACCACAGGGAGTGAGCGGCCCGGCCCGTGTGTGGCGGCCCTTCCACTCTCTGCTGGAGCTGGGCGTCCGGCAGCCACGCATCCTTCCCTCCCTGCGCCGGGCATCGCACACCGGAGCACTTGTGGCGGCCCGGCCCGGCCTGGCCCAGCCGGGGCCACGGTTGCAGCGCAGGCGAGGTCTGGGCGAGATGAGGGGCTGGCCGAGGGGCGAGCCCGTGACGCCCGAGAGAGCAGCCCCACAGCCAGGTGCACTGCGCCTCTCACGCCCCCTCCCTCTCCTCCTCCTCTCACTCTCCCATGCAGGTTAAGCAGCTTGTCCTCTTTGGGCGACTCTGCTCTGGAGCGGCGATCCCCCAGCCACCCCCGCCAGCCGTCCGACTCCAGCGAAACAACTGGTGAGCCCTCATTGGCCCGCGGGGGGGGGGGTGCTCACTGCCTTTGTTGGCTTCATTTTATGCTGCTCCTCTGCTGCTCCTTAGCCGGGCGCCCCTCTGGGCAGTGCCGGGCCCGCCGTGCCAGGGCTCGCTGGCCTGGGGTTGGCAGAGAGCTGGCCTGGGGGAGCCCACGCTCTGGGCTCGGTTGCGAGAGCCCTCGCCTGGGACAGGCCCCAGGACCCCACTGGGTCCTGCTGTGAGTCAGTGGGGGGAAGGGCAGCTGGAGCCCCCCCCCCACTCCAGACCAGGGGAGGTTGGGGGCTCCTCCAGAGCACCGGGGGGTTGGCGGAGACGGAACTGTCTCGGGGAGAAGGGGGCCGGCGGGAGCGGGAGATGGAGGACGGGAGCTGCGGCTGCTTGGGGGAAGAGTGGGTTGAGCAAGGGGGCCGGCCCGCCTCTCCTCCCCCAGGCCTGGTCCAGCGTTGCGTCATCATCCAGAAAGACCAGCGAGGCTTTGGCTTCACCGTCAGTGGGGACAGGATCGTCCTGGTGCAGTCCGTCCGGCCAGGTGAGCCGCGTCTGGGGCGGGGCCTTGCGGGGGGCGGGGGCCGCTGTGGGCTGGAGGCCCGAGAGCCCCGCCAAGCGCTCGCACGGAGACTGTGCGTCTGGGCGCTTCCTTGGGCTGCGGGAGTGTAAGGCGAGGGCCGGACGCCGCAGTCCTTTTCAGGGCGGGCCGTTGATGCATGGCTCTCCCCCCCACCCCGCTTGTGTCTGATTCCTGCCGGCATTGCAGGAGGAGCCGCCATGAAGGCCGGTGTGCAGGAGGGGGACCGGATCGTCAAAGTGAGTAGCGTCACGCCTGCGCCGCCCATCCCCCCGCCTCTGCACCCTCCTTTCCCTCCGTTAGACCCCCTTCCTTAGAGGACTTGCCCCGGGCTCCTGGTGTCCCACCCTCCCTCCGAGAGGCTGGGGTGCCACTGCCATGTGCAGCCAGGTTCTCGGCGTCATGACTGCCCTGCCAGGGAGGTTGGGTGGGCGGGTGTGAGCAGCCGGCTGAAGGCCCCCGTGCGGCTGCTTGGGAGCTGAATCAGGCGCAGGCAGGCGGCGGTTGGTTCAGGGCAGGCTCCGGAGGATCCTCCACTTGTCCGCCTCCGCGAATGCCCCTGTCCCCTCCGCTGGGATGGGTGTGGGGAGCCGATGCTCAGCCAAAGAAAAGCGACTGGGGCGTTTCCTCAGACCACCCTTCAGAAAGTGGAGAAGCAGCACTCGAACCCCAAATCCACCCAGTCTGGCCATGGGGAGGGTGGTCTCTGGGGCCTCCCGAGGCTCAGCACGAGGCGTTTTGGGGTGCCTCTCCCTCGCGCTCCCCCCACCAACTCAGCGGGGCTCGGCTTTCCTTTCCTCGCGGCAGGTGAATGGGACGATGGTGACCAACAGCTCCCACCTGGAAGTTGTGAAGCTCATCAAATGTGAGTCACCCCCGGCAGATCAGGGGCAGGGTGGCCTGGGGAGCGTCAGTCCTCCAAGCTGCGGGAGCCTTGGGGCCTCTTGGACCAGGAGGCCGCGCGCTGCCGCAGGACAGTGCCCGGCCTCTCGTGAACGCCTGCCGTGTGCCTTTCTCCCCCTCTCACTCTGCAGCGGGTGCCTACGTAGCTCTCACTCTCCTGGGCTCCCCGCCCGGCTCCGTGGGCTTCTTGGGCTCCTCCCAGGACGGCCACCAGGCAGGGGCTCCTCAGATCGTGCCGGCCTGCCCCCCGCCACCCCCGCCTCCGCCGTTACCCCCGCCACAGCACATCACTGGACCAAAGCCGCTGCAGGTACTGGGCCCCCGCCGTGCCGTCACCTTGTGCTCCCCGGAGCCGGGTGTGCAAAGCTGGGAGCGAGACGGGAGCCCCGACTCAAACCCTTTCACCTTGCAATCACCCAGGATCCAGAAGTCCAGAAGCACGCGACGCAGATTCTCCGGAACATGTTGAGGCAGGAGGAGGCGGAGCTGCAGGTGAGAACGTTTGCTGCAGGCTGGAGGGAAAGTAGCCCAGGCAAGGCGGGCTTTGAGAATGGCCGTAGGAGCTTGTGGCACTGAGTCCCGCTGCCCTCGGTGGGCACAGAGTTCTCAAGTGTGGGGCACTACCGCCAAGGCCCTGTTGCTCGCACTCGCTGGCTGTGAACTGCTCAGGCCGGCAAGCCCAGAAGCAAAGCTGGGGCGGGCCGTCCACAGGGCGCCTTGTCCCAAGCACCTTGGGCCTTTCTAGGCCAAGAGCAGCCCTTTGGACGGGGCCCGGAAGCAGCCAGCGGCCGGCTGCTGAGTGTTTGCCGGTGCATCACTTTTCCCGAGTGCGTCTGGGTGCTCAGAGACATGTGCATGCGGGGGTTCCAGGAGGCTTTTGCTTCTCCTAGTCTAGGCAGAAGGATGGGACGTGCATAGATGAAATAACGTAACTAGGCGAGCAGGCAAAGAGAGGGCCCTCCACCATGGCGCCAGGGTAGCCCGCAGGGCCCCCGGGGTGGCCATCATCCCTGGGGGGCCTCTTGAGCCGCCACTCTCCAACCCTTGCTCCCCTTCCACTCCCTGTGGAGCAGCGCTGCTACGAGGACTACAGCCGGAACCCGGACTCTCGGATGGAGGAGAGGCTGGAGGGGGCTCGCCGCCGGGTCAGCCAGCTGCAGCTCAAGATCCGGCAGGAGAGGGGCGGATTGGTGGTGAGTGCGTGGCCGGGACGGAGAGGGCTGGACGCCTTGGTGCCACGCTCCGGGTGCCGGGCCAGGGCGCACGACTTGGGCGCACGGCGTGATGTTGTGGCTGTAACTGGGTGCTTCGGGAGGTTGGTGCGAGCGGTCCAGAAACAAGCAAGCCCAGGAGGCGGACGACGTCCCCCGTGCAGTCCTCCAGCAGCAGAAGCCACCAGGACCTGTGGCAAAGGTGGCCGCGTGGAACGCTCCTCCGAGGAGGCCGCCTTGCCGTGGAGCCAGGCCTGCTTGCTGTGTCTGGGCCAGCATTGCGGTTCTCAGTGGGCAGCAGGATAAAAAAAGTTTGACTCAGTCGATGAAGCAAAAGGAGCCCTTCGGCCTCCTGGCCGGTCCCAGCGGCCGTGCCTGGCCCGCCAGCTCCCCTCTGCTTGGCAGGAGGGCCGAGAAAGCCCCGACACCCTCTTTGCTTCCCTTTCAGGACTCTACCCGGCCCCTCGGCGACTCCGGCTCCATCAACTCCCGGGCGGCTGATGGTGAGTCGCGCCGCCACTGGGTCTTCCTGAGTGGGATGGGGCACCTGGAGCACGTGGCCCACCCCGCTTCCCCTCTGCCATCTGGCGGTTACCTCCCCCTGCCCTTCTCCTCCGGGGCAGCGGAGGACGGGGTCGCCTTGGGGCTCGCACCGCCGCAGGATGCAGGGCCGTCCCCAGCAGCTGCTCTGCGCTCCCTTGGCCTGGCCGGCCAGCGGCTGCTCGGCTCTCACGGCACTTCCTCCCCCTCCAGGGCGCCTCTCCCTGGACTCCCAGGACGGCGACAGCGGCCTGGACTCGAGCACGGAGCGCTTTCCTTCCGTGAGCGAGGTGGGCACCCTGCGCACGGGGCTTCTGCCCCCTCGGGACGGCCGGGATGGAGGGAAGCAGGACGCTCGCTCCAGGCTGACCGGATCACCCACCTTTCCTTTGGAGCAGATCTCCCTGAACCGGAATTCCGTCCTTTCCGACCCTGGCCTGGACAGCCCACACACCTCGCCAGTCATCACGTCCCGCCTGTTCCAGCACCACCGGCGCCAAGGCTCGGACACGCCGTTCTCTCCCTCGGCAGAACAGGTGAGTGAGGAACGGCGTCGCACCCGATCGGAGCGCCCTGCAGAATGGTGGCGCCCCCCCCCCCCCAGCTCGCTCTTTGGAGCCTTTCAATTGCCCCTCGATTCCCTCCTGCAGGGCCCGGACCGATCCACAAGGCCGCTCATCATTGGTCCCGAGGAAGACTACGACCCAGGGTTCTTCAATAATGAGGTAGCTGCTCCCCTCGCCTCGCTTGAGCTATCGCAAGACGCTGCCTGGGCCTGGCAGCCAGGCGGCTGCCCCTCAGCCTCCCATGACTGCTGTGTGTGCTTTTCTCCCCGCCAGTGTGACTCCCTCTTCCAGGACTTGGGGAGGCTGAAGACACGGCCGGCTCACTTGGGAGTCTTCCTGCGGTACATCTTCTCTCAGGCAGACCCAAGTCCTCTGGTACAGTCCCTCTGTGACTCCTCCTTCCCTGCTGGCTCCAGGGCAGGGGCGGGCACTGAGTTGGGGAGCCCAGATCCTGCAGGCAGGTTGAACTTGGTCAGCTGAGTGTACCTTCTAGCGTGGGCAGCCCTTTGATGCTGCTTCTGAGCACTGGGAGCGTTTGCCACCAAGGATGGGGCTGGTGGAGGGCGGGAAAGGCACCGAGGGGAGAACTGGGCAGCCTCTGCAGAGAAGAACAGGAAGGTGGGGAAGCACCTGATGCCCAGATTGCCGAAAGATTAGACCTGCTGGAGTCTCGTCAGACATTTAACAAGCTCTGCTTAACAGATGTGAAGATCAGAAACTGGAAAAGGCCTGGGAAACGCGCTTGCTGGGGGAGGCAGATCTGTTCGCTAGATGTTGAATGGTGGAGGGACACATGGGTGGGTGGCGCCCCGTCCCCCATTCACGCGCAGACAGAGGTGGGGAAGACGGGGGGCGGCGGCTGAGTTCGTGAGGTGCCTGTGGGTGGGCGGGCGGGCGGGCAGTGTCCACGGTGTCCACTCGGCCTGCGTTGCAGAGGGCTGTGCGTGTGTTCGTCCCACACGTGCAGACCCACAACGCTCGTAGCCCTCCCACTTGCCTGAATCGGGGAGACACTGTTCTGCTTCCTCGTGGGGGGCCACCGAGTGGCTGACACGGTTGTGTGAACCAGTATGAAGTGCTTCAGATACCAGCTGGTGGGCTCTGAGCCAGCAGGGACTGGTGAGGGGGGAGCTCGGGGCTGGGGGGGCAGCTGGAGGGGAGCAGTAATTAGGAAAGGAATCAAAGCACGAAGCTGCGAAGGACACGATGCCCTTGCACCCTTCTGTGAGGCGATGGCGCTTGGCGTGTTGCGTAACGTTCTGGTTACCACATCTAAGAGAGGATGTTGTGGAGTTGGGGAAAGTGCCCTGAAGGGCAGCGAAGAGGACCAAGGGCTGGAGCGACCGCCCAGGAAGGAGACGTTCCAGCCGCTGGGGCAGGTGTACAGAATTCCTTCTGGCCTAGAGAAAGTGGGGTGGGAGAGAGCAGGGTCCTCCCCGGAGCTGACTGCTGGAGGAAAGGCCAGGAATTGAGTGCCGCAGGAAGGAGTGAGGGACACCCTTGGGGCGGCTTGCAAAGGGGAGTGGGCCCATCCCTCCCCCACCCCCCCGTCCAGCGAGGCAAGGTTCGCAGCTGCCCTGCCTGCCTCGGCCCCCAAGCCCCGACCTCCCAGCGAAGGAGGCCTCTGCTGGCTGGCTGGCTGGCTGGCTTCCCCTTTTGCCCCGCCTGAGTGCTCTCGCGGGTGTGTGGTAATCCTGCGCACGGCCGCCTTCCCACCGGGGCTGGAGTGGCCCTGACAGCCTGCCCTTCCTTCCTGCTCTCTCCCTCGCTCTTTCTGCAGCTGCTCTATCTGTGTGCAGACGTTTACCAGCACATGAACCCCAAAGAAGCCCGGGGGCTCGGGAAGGACATCTGGCACATCTTCCTGGATAAATCGGCGGTGAGGCCTTGTGGGGGCCCAGGGGGTGGCGGCGGCAGCGGCGGGCGGCTTTTTCCCCACCTCCCCCCGCTTCGAAAGACCGGCCCTTTCTCTGAAGCGGACAGGCACCAGACACCTGTCGCCACGTCCCCTGAAGGGGCTGCCCCGAAAAAGAGAGAGGCCTCCGAGGTCGGTGCCGTCGAGCCTCTGTTTCTCTCTTCCTCCCTCAGCCCCTGAGAGTCAAGGTCCCGGATCACCTGTTGGCCGAAATCGGTGAGTGGATCCCGCCGCGCAGAAATGCATTCAGTCGCCTGGCCCCAGGGTGGCTCTGGGGCCGATAGGCCTCTTCTGCCTCCTGCAAGCCTCTCCTGCAGGCCGCCTCTCGGTCCAGGGCATCCAGAGTGGGCCTGAGCCAGTGCTCACTCGGCTCCTCCATCCCCGGTCCTTTCCCGAGGCAACGCGCCCACGTGGGTCAGCCCATTCGTGGGGTGGGAGGACGGCAGGTGGGGGCCCGCGAAGTAGGCGGCCTTTGGAGCTCTCCCTGGGAAGCTGGGGATCCCCCTCTGGCTGCTGCAGCCGAGGCTGCCCCTTTTCTGAATTCTTCCACCCCGGCTGCTCCAGACTCTCGCCTGCGGAACGGGGAGGATGTGCGGAGCGCTTTCCTGGAGGCTCAGGAGGCGGTCATGCCCGAAATCCAGGAGCAGATCCAGGATTACAGGTGAGCCCCAGGAGCTGTGGGCGTTCAGTGTTCCGGCTGGGGATCAGCGTCCCCTTCTTCCCCAGCTGGGGCCCTCGGGCGGCACTTCTGCGGGCCCGGCAAGGGGATGCGTTCGGGCTGGTTGGGCTGGCCGGGGGGTGGGGGTGAGGTGCCCCCTGCTGAGGGGCCGCCTGGGAGCCGAGCCACCGCCTGTGTGAGATTGTGGGGGTGGAGGGGGCGCACAGCCTGCAGGGCCGTCTCAGGCAGGCAGGCGCAAGCGGGGGGAGGTGGCACATGACCCGGCCCGAAACTGCTTCGAGGTTCGGGCCCAGAGGCATGCAGGAGGCCAGCGACGCTTGCCCAGAGCTGGCGTGCCGCGTCCGGATCTCTGGGCCCCACCGGTGCCCATGTCTTGCCCCAGCCAAAGCGCTTTGCCCTGGCCCGAGTGGGGGTGGCTGGGGACGTGGTTGTGGCCGCCAGAAGGCGCACCTCGGCCCAGGAAGCCCACTGGCATGGCCGAACTGTTCGTTGGGGAAGAGCTCTCCGGGCGCTCGGGGGCTGATGAGGCTGGTCTAGCGCAGAGGCCTCGGCTCTCGAGCCCGGGAGGTGGTGGGAAGGGGCTGCCGGGCACGCTGGAGCCCACGAAGCCCCGCCTCTGCGCCCGCAGGACGAAGCGCACGATGGGCCTCGGGAGCTTGTATGGGGAGAACGACCTGGTGGACCTGGACGGGGACCCCCAGCGGGAGCGCGAGGTGGCCGAGCGGCAGATTGCCCAGCTGGGCGGCATCCTGTGAGTAGGCCGGGCTCCCCGCAGCCCACAGGCCTGGGGTGCTCGCCGGGAGAAAGGCAGTGGGCCGGCCCGTGCAGGGTGGGGTTGCTGGCCCCGTTGAGGCGCTCTCTGGCCTGGATGGCTACGGGAGGGAAGAGGCCGCCCCCCCACCCACAGCGGGGTGTTTTGTGGAGCACGCGTGGTCGGGAAGGGCTTGACTTCCTCCTCTTCTCCCTGCAGGTCCAAATATGAGGAGGAGAGAAGGTGAGGTGGCCCAGGGCCCAGCTGCCGTTTCCGGGTGGGGCGGTCCCCTCCAGAGGCCTCCTGCAGGCCTGCGGCTTTGCGTTCGCTTGCTGGTTTCGCTCTTGGATTTCTGATCGTTGGTTTCTTCTTAGCCTTGTATTGATACTTGGATCTGGTATATCAGAGAATTCAAGGGGCCAAAGAGTGATGCGAAGCCGAGCGCTGCCTGGCACGCCAGCTCAGCTTCCGGTTTGTTCCCACTCGCTGTAGGCGTCCATTCTGGTTCCCAGGCCTTGTGGCTGGGGATGTACGTTCTCCCCCAGAATGCACTTGGCATTCTCCCATTGGTGGAGCTGTCCGTAGGGATGCACTGCGGGTCCCCAGCTGGAGCGTCAGTCCAGAGCGGAGCCCCTGCAGATCCTCCTGGGGCACAGCCTCTGGGAGAGGCTAAGGAGGGCAGGTGTCGGTTGGCGACTGGCACGAGGGTGTCTGGCCCGGGATGCAGGGAGGAAGAGAGTGTCGCCCGGCCTGTGTGTCGTGCGTAGGGGGGTGCCTGAGTTGCTCGCTTGCTTGTGAATGGGCCGTGTAGGCTCTGGGGGCCCAGGCCCGGGCCACACGCTTGGTGTGGGTGTGCGGTACAGGGCGGCTGAGCCGGGGCCTGCAGAGGCCGTCGCCCCCCTGCCCGCCCAGACAACGCTGCCGCCTCCTTTCTCTCCCCCGCTCAGCTCCCCCCTGAACTTTGCCTTGAACACCTACATGAGCCACACGGGAATCCGCCCACGGGAGGCTCGGCCGGTCGTAGAAAAGGAACGGGACAAGTGGCTGCCCTTCTTCCCCAAGGCCAAGAAGGTGCGGCAGAGGGAGGGGGCTGCCACAGCCCACGGGAGCGCACCCAGGGCCCTCGGGGCACGGCCTGCAGCCGGCGGCCCTCCTCACGCTTCTGCCTCGCCTCCCGTTCTCGCCCAGCAGAGCAGCAGCACCAAGAAGGACAAAGACGCCCTGGCCGAGGACAAGAAGCGGAACCCCATCCTCAAGTACATCGGGAAGCCCAAAAGCTCCTCGCAGAGCAGTGAGTCCGGGGGGGGGAGCGCCCCCATGGGGGCCACCTCTTCCACCCCCAGCAGGGCTGGCGGGTCCACGCAGGCTGCCCCCTCCTGCTGCTGCTGCTTCTGCTCGTCTCATTTTGGCATCCCATGTTTGTCTTTCATTGGCGCCGTGCAAGCTTAATTTTGACATTTCCATTTTGCTTTCTTTTCAGCATTTCATGTCCCCTTGTCCCCCGTTGAAGGTAAAAACAAACCCTCGCTTCCCACATTCCAGCCACCTCCCTCTCTGGCTCCCTTCCCCACAACTTCTTTTTCATCCGGGGGGGCCTTTTCTGAGGGGACGGGTTGGCCTGGTCGCAGCCCTGGCACGGTGGGTGAGGCCGGCTCCTGGCTCCCCACTGCTGGCTCCCCACTGCTCCTCCGCCCTCGCTCCTGGCTGCCCCACCTGGAGCCCTCAGGGCTTCGTGGCAGCAGCGGCCTCACCCGAATGTGTGCAGCTGGGGGCCTGGTGGCCTCTGTCCTGGCCTGATGGGCCCTCAGACTGTCGTACGGTGTGGAAGAGGGAGGCGCTCCCGGCCACCGGGCTGGCCTTCCGTCAGATGCTCCCCTCCCATCATGCTTCCCCTGCAGTGGATGCCAGGCACCGAACGAACGGCCGGCCAGCGGTGCGCCAGGGCCCTCTCAAGCCTCTTTCCAGGCCAAGAGCTGCCTGGGAGGAGCTGTGTGGGGACGGACGGGCAGAGACCCGCTGCCTGAGGCAGCTGCGTGGAAGGGGGCGTTCCTGCTGCTCCACCTTTTCTCACCTCTGCCTCAGGCCCTTCGGGGGCCAGGCCCTGGCGCTCCCGCCTGGTCCCGGGACTGCAGAGCCCCCAGCCGAGAGCGGGGCCTTCTAATGCTGTTCTCCCCGCTTTGACAGTCAAGCCGGGCAACGTGAGGAACATCATCCAGCACTTCGAGAACAACCAGCACCCGGACGCCCTGGAGCCGGCTGGCATGCAGCGCCTCTCCACGGGCAGCTTCCCGGAAGACCTCCTCGAGTCCGACAGGTAGGGGGCTTGGGCTGTGCCCGTGTCCCTGGAGCTCTCCGGGGAGCCCGTGGCCTGGCCCTGTTTGCCCGGCTCTCTCTGGACGAGGGCCAAGTGTGGCTTTGCTCATCCTTCCTCCGCCCCCTCCCCATGGCTCCAGTGCCAGGTCCGAGGTCAAGCTGGGCCGGTCAGAGAGCCTGAAGGGCCGGGAGGAGCTCAAGCGGCTGCGGAAGGTGGAGAACGTGCCCCGCTCCCGGAGCGACGTGGACATGGACGCCGCCGCAGAAGCGGCTCGCCTGCACCAGTCAGCGTCGTCGTCGGCATCCAGCCTGTCGGCGCGGTAAGGCCCCATGCAGCCCGGGGGTGGGTGGGGAGCTGGCTGGCCCCTCGGGTGGGAGTGTGTTAACCCGGCAATATGCAAGAAGAAGCGTCTTAAAGAAAAGCATCAGTCACAGGGCGAGACCAGAAAACACCCAGGGAACAGACGAGGGGTAAATACCGCGTGAGGAGCCTGCGTCAAGAAAGCCAGAGCGTGGTGGTTCCCAAGAAGCTCAGTATAGCGGGCACCGATCCTGGCAGAGAGGCCTCGCCATGTACTTCACCATATTTGGCAGAGTGCACCAGAAGCCTCGCCAGGCCCCCGCCAGGCGCAGTGTCCAGATGCCCCAACAGACGAGGGTGTGTGCAAGGATGAGCGCAGGCCGCAGGCCCGTGGCTCGTTCTGGTCTGCTGCCCGGCTCTGCACAGAGTCTTTCCCTGGGCCGTGCCTCCGTCTTAACCTGCTTATACAATGTAATCGTAGCCAAACACAGCCAGACCTTTATGAAACGGGGAGCAGGAAAGCCATTTTAGGGCCGTCAATGAAGTATACAACTTCGTCTCTTCTCATGTGATGCCCTGTTCCATCTTTTCCTTGTCAACGCTTATTCTTGCGCTGGCTGCAAGGAGAGAGGCGTAGGGCCAGGGTAGCCGGGCAGGGCTTGCCATCTGCACTGGGGGTTGACTGCTTCATTTCTTATGCCTCCAGGTCCCTCGAAAACCCCACACCACCCTACACTCCCAAAATGGGGCGCAGGTGAGTTACCCACAACCTCACAAGGGGGAGCTGTGGGTCCCCTTTCAGTGCTGGTGGGGAAATGAGGCTAACAATGTGGTGATTCAAAACATGAAGCTGCAACTGTCCCGACATTTGCTCGCTCGCTGTGTGTGTGTGTGTGTGTGTGTGTGTGTGAGGGAGGGAGGGAGGGAGGGAGGGGGGGAGGGAGGGAGGGAGGGGGAGAGGGAGGGAGGGAGGGAGAGAGAGAGAGAGAGAGAGAGAGAGAGAGAGAGATCCTTCCCTGGGGCAGCCCCTGTGCTCTTCTGGCCCCCTCCCAGCCTGCGGATGCAGAGCAGGCTCTGGTGCTGCCTCGTTTGCAGCATCCTCCAGACATGTTCTGCTTTGAACACGCTTTTCCTGGCGGATGAGGCGTGGCTTTATTGCTTCACTCAAGTTTAAGTACGTTTACTTTTTGCATCTCGTTTGAGCGCTCCTCTTTACTGCTCATTGCTCAAGATACTGAATAGTTTGAGCCTCTTGTCTTACGGATGTCACTTGTCTGCCCTCGAACGGCTTCCCTGGTGGGCCTGGGTCTCCTCTCCGGACACACTCCTCTTTGCGCCCCTCGCCTGCAGGAGCATCGAGTCCCCAAGCCCCGGCTTCAGCGCTGACGCCTTCCTTCCCCACCTGCTGGAGGACGAGCTGGGGCAGCTCTCAGACCTGGAGCTGGAGCAGGACTCCCAGAACTGGCAGCACACCGTGGGCCGCGACGTCGTGGCGCACCTGCCGCAGCGGGAGGTCGACCGCCAGGAAGTCATCAACGGTGAGGGTTGGGGGTCAGCCATGCTCTCGAAGGCCCCCAGAGGAGGCCGGGGCTGTGGTGGGGGGGGGGCTCGCGGCCAGGAAGCAGCGCCCAGCTGCATCTTCCAGGGAACGGCCCCCAGTGCTCCAGACGCAGGCCAGAGCTCGGGTCCTTAGTGAATTTCCTTCCGGGGGGAGCGGAAGTGCGCAGGGTGTGGAGCAGGGCTTTCCTCCGGCATTCCCACGGGGGGCGGGGAGGTCTGTGGGGAGAGCAAGGCAGATGGCAGGGCAGGCTTGTCCTGACGGGGGAAGAGCGAGCGGGATCCAGGCCCCTCTGTCCAGGCTCCGCTTTGGGGTCCTCAGCTGCACCGCATCCAGCTGCTGCTGGTATTGGGCTCCTGCTGACCCCCCTCCCTTGGTGCAGAGCTGATCGTGACAGAGGCGTCCCACCTGCGGATCCTGCGAGTCCTGGATGTCCTCTTCTACCAACGCATGAGGAAGGAGAACCTGCTGACGCGAGAGGAGCTGGCGCTGCTCTTCCCCAACCTCCCGGAGCTGATCGAGATCCACAGTGAGCGGCCGCTTTCCCTCCCTGGGGCCCCGAGGAGAAACCCCGCCGGCCGCTCGCGCCGGCCACCGTTTCTGCCTCGCTTGCTGAAGAGCAGCGGGGAGACCCGGAAAGGCTCCCGTGCGGCATTTTCGCGGACTGAGCGTGGAGGAGACTTTCAGAGTCCCTGTTGAGGGATCCTCCGCCCTGCAGACAGCCTCCGCCTGCCCACAGCAGCGACCTTTCCAGAATTCCCTGCGTTTGTAGCCTTTCTTTTCCAAGCAGTTTGCAGAAACGTACATTAATTTCCAAGCATAGCGTTACAACCACCCACAGAGCACGGTAAAGTGCGCCCTGTTCTTGCATAAGGCAGTCTTGTGCAGTGGCTTCCGCCGGCTCCAGGACCTGATGAGGGGACCAAGGCAGGCCATGGGGGAGCAAGGCCCAGGGCGGGCCTCTGGCTGCCCCGGGACTCGCCTCACCTCCAGACCTCTTCCCCCTTTCATGGGAAACCCTGCAGAACGTGAGGGAGAGCCACTGGGCCTTCGGTGGTGCTGAAAGACCAAGAACCTGACCCCTGAAGAGCCGAGAGTTCACCCCCTTCCTCTCCGCCCCTCCCCTCTCCTCCCCTCCCACACGCCCCTTGTCCAGATTCCTTGTCAGAGTCCATGAAGAAGCTCCGCGAGGACGGGCCCGTTGTCAAGGAGATCGGGGACCTGATGCTCGCGCGGGTAATCCTCTGGGGTTGGGCAGGCGGGCGGGCCAGGGGCCAGGGGCTTGGCTGGTGTGACCCCCCGGCCTCCCTGGGGCCGAGGGTGATGTGCTGCTCCTCTCCGCACCCCCCGTCTCACCCCCAGTTCGACGGGGTCGGGCGCGAGGAGATCCAGCAGGTGGCAGCTGCCTTCTGCGCCTGCCAGTCCACGGCCCTGGAGCTGATCAAGACCAAGAAGAGGAAGGAGACACGCTTCCAGCTCTTCATGCAGGTACTGCTGGCGAGGCCGTGGGGGAAGGCGGGCCCCCCAGGCACGCCCCCGACGGGCCCCGCAGAGGCTGTGCTGCTCCCTGGCCTGCTCTGCACAGCGCACCGGAGGCGTCTGCCAGCGCCCCCCCCCCCCCCCGGCCTGACCTGCCTGCCGCCCCCTCCCTCCCAGGAGGCCGAGAGCAACCCGCAGTGCCGCCGCCTGCAGCTGAAGGACCTCCTCATCTCGGAGATGCAGCGCCTGACCAAGTACCCGCTGTTGCTGGAGAACGTCATCAAGCACACCCACGGTACGCAGGGGGTTTCGGCGGCCTGTCCCCCACCACCCCACCTGGCACCCATGGCGCTGGCCAGGCCAGCCCAGGCCAGGCTCTGAGCGCCCACCCTCCCTCTGCACCCCCAACCAGGGGAAACACCGGAGCACAAGAAGCTGTGCCAGGCCCGGGACCAGTGCCGGGAGATCCTCAGGCACGTGAACGAGGCCGTGAAGCGGGCGGAGAACCAGCACCGCCTGGAGGCCTACCAGAAGCGCCTGGACACGACCTCGCTGGAGCGGACCAGCAACCCCCTGGCGGCCGAGTTCAAGGTACCGCCGGCCCTGGCCCATCCCGCCTCGCCTGCCTCCTGCCGGCCACCCGGCCCCTGCACTGACCGTTCCTCCTCCCCGCCTAGAACCTGGACCTGCGAGGCCGACGCATGATCCACGAGGGACTGCTGAGCTGGCGGATCAGCAAAGACAAGACTGTGGGTCTGTACCTGGTGGCGGGGGTGCTCCCTCCCCCTTTCTTAGCTGCTTCTGCCCGGCTTTTCTGCTCACGTCGTCATCGGAGCATGATTACCGGAACAACAAAGCAGTTGAGCTCCAGCAAGTGAAGGCTGGAATCATCCCGGAAGGTTAAAACTCACTGAATGTCCTTTAGATTTATTTCCAGCCCTTGGGCTATTGGGTGGTATAAAAACGAAGGTGGTGGTGGTGGTGAAGACGACGACGACGATATGCTGCTGCCCAGCCCCAAAGTCTCTCTGAGCGATTTGCCTGCATTCAGGGAAAACAAGGCAGGCCCTGCCCCTGAGGGGGCTCTCAAAGGACGTGGCACAGCAGGAGGAAGGGGTGCGGGAGGAAGGGGGGGATGCTGCAGAGCCGATCGACGGGCCCCGCCTGCCCTTCACAACCGCTCGCCTCCAGGCTCCTGGAGCGGCCACTGGTGGCTTTAAATTCGGGGAGACTGGAAAGGGTTTGGAGGCGAAAGAGGGGAACCTCGGTGGACTCGGTCTTGAGGGGCAGGAGGCGGCCCATGGCCCTGGGCTTTGGCAGGGCCCGCTCGGAGCCGTCCTGGCAGGCGGGGGCTCCGCACTCAGGCGCCCCCGCCTGCTCCTCTCCAGATCTGCACGTGTTGCTGCTCGAGGATCTCCTGGTGCTGCTCCAGCGGCAGGACGAGAAGCTGGTGCTGAAGTGCCACAGCAAGATGGTGCTGGGCTCCTCGGACATCAAGCAGACCTTCAGCCCCGTCCTCAAGCTCAACGCAGTCCTCATCCGCTCCGTGGCCACAGGTCAGGGTGGCAGGCGGCTGGCCGGCGGGCTCGCCAGCCTCCTGCATCAGGGCCCTTCCCCGGCTCCCCCTGCCCGCCCGTGCCGCGAGCCCAGCAGGTTCGCCCGCGTCCAAGCGGCTTCTGGCCCAGTAGCCAGAGGAGAAGACGTGGTTTCGCCCCCCGTGGGGGCGGCCGGCTGGCGGGCAGGAAAGCGTTTCATGTGCACTCTGTGTTCAAGCGGCCTTTATCGGCTCCTTTCCATACAAGTAAAGCCCCTTTCGTAAGGTCCCAGGAAGGGGCAGGGCTGGCTGGGCGGCGTGTGCCATCCCTCCTGCCTTTCCCCCGTCCAGATAAGCGCGCGCTCTTCATCATCTGCACCTCCGAGCTGGGGCCTCAGATCTACGAGCTGGTCGCTTCCACGTCTTCCGAGAAGAACATGTAAGGGTTCATCTGGCCTTCTGCGGTGGTGGGGAAGGAGCAGGAGATGGAGGGAGGCACCGACGAGCTGAGGAGCAGTGAGCGAGGAGGTGGCACGGAGGAGAGCATTGGGGCTGAGCCGCGGCCGAAGGGCAACGGGTGCCGGGGGCGGGTCTCGAAGGACCTGGGGCCACCCCGGGGACGGCCTGCCAAGAGGAGGAGTGTGGGAGGCCTCGGGGAAAGCGGGCCCCGAACCCGCTGAGCGTGCCTCCCTCGCTCTGCCGCACAGGTGGATGGAGCTTCTGGAAGGAGCGGTGAAGAGCGCTACCCGAAATGCCACGCTGCCCCCAAAGCGCCACTCCCAGGAGCTGCCTCTGTCTCGGCCGGCGCCTGCCAGGTGAGGAAGGCCCCGGGCTCTCCAGTGGGGGGGGGGGGCCCTTGGGGCAGCATCCGGAGGGGGGCCCTTCATCCCAGCTTCCCACCAAGGGCAAGGGACCAAGTGGGGAAGCGGCTGCTTGCTGGGAGCAGTCCCGGCTCGGAACGGGGCGCCTTGGCAGTGTTGATGAACCGTCTCCACCCGTGTTGGCTGGCCAGGCCGAGCCACTGGGTCCACCCACAGCGGAGCGCCTGCGTGCCGGTGGTGGGAAGAGCCCTGCGGCAGGAGCGGGGGCCCTGGCTCAGGCTCCTGGGGAAGGGGCTCGGCCCCCCGTGGGTCCTCCTGCCCACCTGACGCTCGCTCCTGCTGGGCTGGGACGTGGGCGAGGCCAGTCCGTGGGCCTTGTTAACAGCCCCTCCCGCGGGCTCTCCGGCCCCTTCCCGCTGACACGGAGCTCCCCACTGCGTTGCACTGCCTGCCTGATGGGAGGCACGTCCCCCTAGCCAGCTGGTTCTCCCCTCTAATCGTGGACTCCTCCTCGCCCTCCCTCCCCCATTGCTCTTCAGTCTGGAGCTCCAGGAGGCTGACCTGCCCTCAGGCCTGGCCCGGGACAGCTGCGCTCCCAGCCACGATGTGGACGAGGAGGAAGGGGCTTCAGGTAAGCCCTGGCTGCTGACCCAGGGGCTGGCAGGGCACCGTGAGAGGGCCACCCTCTGCCACGCGCGGCCGCCTCTCCCCGGTCTCCCTTGAGTCTCCCGGCTGCCTGTACTGCTTTGTACGGCCCCGACCCTAACGGGCTGCCCGCCCCGTTGTCCCCGCAGACGACACCCCCACTGAAACCTTGGCGGAGGAGAGACACCCGGCGTTGGCGGAAGGGCTGGAGACGGGGGGCTGTGCCGAGGAAGAGCCGCCTCCCGCCGGTCCAGCACGGACACCCCCCCAGCCAGAGACGTCCCCTCCTCGGGCAGAGGGGCTGGAGCCCTGCCCCCTTCCAGACCCCATCCCCTTTCTGGCCGAGTCCGCGCTGGAGGACGGTGAGGGCCGGCTTTGCCCCACTGGGGCTGCGCTCCCCCTGCGGCTCGCCTCCATGTTTCTCGCCCCGGGCTTTCACATGCGGCTGGTGTGCTGGCGCCCCGGCTCCACGAACACGCACGTCGGCCTTTGGGGTGCGGTGGGTGGGGGGGTGCAAAGCTTTCCTGGGAGGGGGTGGTCAGCACGGTGGCTGCGCTCCCCGGTCTGGTCTGGTCTGGTCTGGTCTGGTCTGGTCTGGTCTGGTCTGGTCTGGTCTGTTCTGGTCTGCTTGGCCGGCCTGCTTAGGGCCATGGGGAGTGGGTGGATCAGCTTGGGCCCACCTGACCTGCGGCACCGGCCCCCGTGGCACGCAGGTGACAGATCCCCGGGCTCAGACAGCGGTCTGGGGAGGCTCCCGGAGACCAGCCCCGGCCTGGCCGGCCGCAACACTCCCCCGCTGCTCTTGGGTGTCCCTTGGAGGCAGACGTGGGCTTGGCCCTGAACTCGAGCGGGACGAGGAAGCAGCCAAAACCTCTGGCCTGCCGGCGACCCAGATCAGTGCCTAATGGCCGCTGGATTCCCGTCCTCTTCCTCATTGCAGTGGAAACCCTCCGCCATCTGCTACTGCACAGCTTTCCCCCCTGCCGAGAGCCGGACCCCGAAGAGGACCTGACCCCCACCCCGTCCGTGGTCGGCACCCACCAGCGCTGGGATCCAGCGCCGGCTGGTCCGGGCTCGGGAGGCCAGGAGGAGCCACCCGAGTGCCCAGGGAGCGGCAGTCCCTCGGAGGGCCGGGGGCCTTTGCTGGGCAGCAGGACCGGGCCTGAGGCTGGGGGCCCCCAGAGCGCGGGGCCACTGGAGGGCACGGCGCACATGTTGGCCGCCCCCCCGGCCCCCGAAGGCGGGGCTCCGGAGGCTGAGGAACCAGGGAGCTACCAAGTGGTGCGGAAAGGTAGGGGACGCCCAGCGCCTCTAGGGTGGGGTTGCCCTGATTCGGGGAAGGGGCAGGGAAGCCATTCCTGCGGGACGCCCAGCGCAGGGCAGCGGGGGCACAGGCGGGAAGGAAAGAGCAGCGCCAGCGCGGCTGCCTCCCGCAGCCGGCCCCTGGAGGGTGTCAGGGACTCCTCGGGAGTTGAGGCCTTGCCCCAAGCCCAGTAACAGTTGCTCATGCTGACGGCGAAGCTTGCATCCCCCGACGGCCAGCCGCTTCTGCCCCAGTCCCTCCCAAAAGCCCAAGGGGCCCGGCTGGGAATTGCACCCACGGGAGCCCAGTCTCTTCCTTTCCTTTCCTTTCCTTTCCTTTCCTTTCCTTTCCTTTCCTTTCCTTTCCTTGTTGCGCTGCTTCCTGCATGCACTTCCTGCTCCTCCCCCACCTGCGCTGTCCGGATGGTTTCTGGGTGCTCGGCACTAACAGGCTCTGCAATTTGGAGTTTTGATCGTGGTTCTCTCCCTCTCTCTCTCTCTCTTCCTCTCCCTCTCTCTCCCTCCCTCCTCCCCACTCGTCCCCTTCCCTTTTCCCCTGCTCCCTGTTCTTTCCCTTCCCCTTCCCTGGTGTCTCTTGCGCAGCCAAGGTGGAGGGGACTAACGGTGTTCCTCCCATGCCCGACGGCAGCCAGGCAGGAGCGGACGCTGGAGAGGCAGACAGTGCAGATGGTAAAGGACCACGCAGCCGCTGTTCCCCCACCAGTGGCTAGAAATCAAAGTCGCGGTGGGCGTCAATGCCCAGTGCGGCCCAGCCTGCCCCCAGGGGCCCTGCAGGGAGGGGCCGGCCCCCTTCCTCTGCCTACATTTGCTCAGGGTCGCCTCGTTGATGCCACTGCAGCGGTGGTGGCTTTGCACGTTCGTTAGCAAAACGCTTCGTGGGATGTTCTTTAAATGAACCTATTGGAATTATTACAGCTATTTAGCAAGGCACGCTTTTGGTCTGGTGGAGTTCGCTGTTGGGTTTCATGCCTCCTCGATCATCTTAAAACTTGAGTGCACTCTAGATATAAACTTGCAGCAATAGCATCGTTGGCCTCTGCACGCTTGTCCGCCCAGGTTTTGGTCTTTTTTTGGTCTTGCTCAGCGGTCCAGCAGTGACTCTGAGCCCGACGGGGCGCAAGGTGTGGACAGTGCGCTCCGATGTCTGTCCAGGAAGCTGGGCTTGGCCCCTCTGCAGAAGCAGTTTGGGTTCTCCCCCCCCTTCCCAGTCTTGGATGTCGCATCTCAGAATCGTCTTTCGAAGGAAAACCGCGCCTGCCCTCATCGCCTCTGTCCCGCAGGAAACTACTTCTACGTCAGCCTCCCGGCTGCCTCGGGAGAGGCCTGGACGGACGCCGGGAGAGCCAGCCCCACAGAGCTGGCCAGCCCCGCAAGCCAGCCGAAGAGCTTGCCTCCGCCCGAGCACCCCCTCAGCTCGCAGGGACCACTGAAGGAACGCCTGGCCAGGTGGCCCACCCCCCCTGAAGACCCGGCCCCTCCGGAGGTCCCTGCCCACGTGACTCGGGACATGGACGTGATCTTCCAGACGATCGACCAGCTCACACTCAAGCTGATGCGGCTGAAGGTGAGGGTGGGAGAATGGGGGGCGGGCAAGGCAGTCTTGCTCCCCACCGCCTGCTGCTCTTCCGGAGCATCGGTTGTCTGCTTGAGGCCTCGGATGGGAGAGGAATCGGGGCTTGGGGTCTCTGCCAAGGCCCGTCCCACCCTGCTCCCGTGCCCATTGCGTGCAAGTGGGGAGCCCCAAACCTTTGCGCTTCCCCTTGTACGGTTCAGCTGCTACAGAGGTGGAGCTGCACCGAATTCTGCGTCATGAGGTACCTGTCCCTGCTTGCCGGGAGCAGCGGCTACCAGGCTGGGACAGTCGAGTCTGGTTTAAAGCCAGCACGGGCTGGAGGAGAGCAGGGCCTGGGGATCGGGCACGGGGAGGAGAAGTGGCACGCTGAGCCGCGGGGCATCTGTGGGGCGTTCTCCTGGGGGCGGGTGGGGCATTCATTGGTTCATACGTCCCCCGGCCACGGGGAAAGGGCTCTCTCCAGCTGTCCTCTCTCTTAAAGATGGGGCTTGTTTTCCCGCCTGTACTCATCAAGGGCCCGTCGAACCTGGTTTTCCAGCTAGGAGCCGCTCCAGCTGGGCAGAGCTGCGGGATTTTTCCCCGAGGACCCCCAAGAGCCCCTTCCCAGCCCTTTGCTCCTCCTCTCACAGGATGTTGAAATGGCCCATCAGCAGCTGCTTCAGTCGCTCTACGGAGGGTCGGCCGCGGATGCCATTCCTGTGCGGGAGGTACAGCCAGAGCCGAGGCGGCAGCAGCCCCCCGGAAGCCCTCCGGTGCCCCTCGCCAGCCACGACCCGCCACCCTCTTCGCAGTCCCTGGATGTGGCAGACCCGGGTGAGAAGCGTCCCTCGGCCTCTGGGGCGCCGTGCGTTCCCCCTTCGCTGCTGCCCCCCGACCCTTTACCCCAAGGGTGCTCCTCTGGCTGGAACGTGCTCTCTCTCCCCCCAGCAGGTCAGATGGTCGTCTGCGAAGACATCCCCCAAGAAGTGACCCTTTAGGAAGGGGGTTTCTGCGAAGGAAGGAGAACGTGCCAGCTCCCCGTGGATCGCGGCTCCCCCTTTTCCCGGCCCACCTCGGGTCCCTCGCGCTGCGGCCCCTTTGGGCGGCTGACGGAGCGGAACTTGGCAGAAAGGGATGAAGTGGGCATGGGATCCTCCTGCCCCGGAGAGGAGGAAGCCCGGGAGGACGAGGTGGGACTGGACCCTCGTTGGGGGCAGCACACGCCGCATTGACTCCGTGACCTCCAGAGTCCCCCGAGACAAGGCGGCCAAGGCCCGAACACTGTTTTGTGCATTAAGCATGGAGAGGCTCCCCCTCCGCCCGCACGTCTGCCCCACTTTGGGGGCCAACCTCTCCCAGCGCCTCCCTGGGCCAAACCAGTCTTGTGCATGTGCGCAGATACACGTCCCCGTGGACTCGCTTCCCCGCTCTACGTGAAACCTGGAGTAGATCCTGTTTAACTGCACTTTCTTGCTTGGTTTTCTCTCCCTGCTGAGGAAGATCCCACCAGGAGAGGCCCCGGCTGCTTCCAGACCTTCTTGGATATAAATATGTATGTATGTATGTGCATTGAGTTATTGTAAATATGACAGGTGGTGGTGGTCTTATTTGCCTTCGTACGCAGACTCAGCAAGGAAACCACGGTGGCCACTCCCGCCGCAGCCCCCGACCTCGAGGGGCTTGGGCTGCAGACCCCTGGCTGGGGAAGAGGGAGGCTGGCTGTGATCCAGCAGCAGCGAGAGGCATTGTCCGGCCCCCCATTTTCTCGGGGCAGAATGGCTCATCACCCTCTGTTCCAGCACGTGTGCCGCAACCACTCCAGAACACGGGTGCTCGCTGTGGCGACGCCGCAACGCTGCGGGACCAGGCCCTTGCCCCTTGCGCCTGCCTCCGGAACGGGCCCCTTGCGCTCAGACAATCTGCCTCTGTCCAGTTGCCCCGGGGGCTACCCACAGAGCGCCCCCCGTGGCTGCTGCAGCAGGCGGCCGGCCGCCCGCCCCAGGCGAGATGGCTACACCTCCGGCCACCCGGAAGGGGGGGTTGCTGCAGGCTGCACAGTCCCATCATCCTCACTGGATCCTGGCTGGGGCACGCGGTTCCATGGGCCACACCAGCTGGAGTGGCACGTCTGCCCATCTGCTGCACCAGGTGTATGATGCATATAAGATTATACATAGATATATATAGATATAGATATATATATATATATAAAAAGGATGCCGGGCGCTTTGCTGTTCAATTCGCTAAAAGCCAATTTTATTTTCTTTCTTTCAATGGTAAGGTTTTTTTAAAGAAAAAAGTAAAACATTCTTCAGTCTCCTGCCTGCACGTAGCTTTTTCTCTCGCCGGGGTTTGGTGGCTTTGCCCATGCTGGTGCCCTGCAGGGCTGGCCTGGGTGCAAGGACCGCTTGCAGCCCCTGGTGGGGGCAGTTCTGGCCAGAGGGGACCAGGCGGGCACCAGGCACATGCCGGCCGCCCCTTGGAGCTTTACGGCGGGATGAAACGCCTCCGCCGCTCGAGGCTGGAGCGAGGAGAAGGCCGGCGTGGCGCGACACAGCCGGGGTGCCGCTGGTCCCTGCCCCGTGAGGAGAGGCCGCACGGCCCCCGGATGGCTCCTCTCTCTGCCACCTCAGCAGCGGGCTCCCTTCCACGCCGTGTGTCTTCCGTCTCCACCTACAAGCCGGCCTGGGGAGCAAAACATGAGCAAACGGGAGCCGCGCGCCACCCCAGGTGATCCGGTGATGCCTCAGGTTTCCTGCAGTCAGGAGGCAGGTTGGGGGGGAGGGGAGAGGGAGGGGGGTTCTTGGGGTGCCCTAAAGGGCCGCCGCGAGCTCTTCCTCCGGCGCCCTGGTCGCGGCCCCCGTCTTGGGAAGAGGGTCCCGCAGCATCATCAGCTCCTGGATCCTGGCAAGGGTCTTGCTGTCTGCAGGGCAGCTGTTTTTCTGAAACGGCCAGAATGGAGGGGAGGCAGCCCTGAAACCGAAGGCAGGGAATGTGCGGCTTATCGCTCACGCAGCCCTGGGTTGTGCGGCCAACGGGGCAGGGGCTGGGGGGCTGCCCCGCCTCGTGCGAGGCGCCGGCTGGGGCGGAGAAGCAGAGCTGGCAGGAGCTCCACGCGCTCAGCTCTGCTGGAGTCGCAGAGTCCCGGGCTCCTCTTCTGCTCGGGGCCCCCTCCCTCCTTGGCACTTTTCGGTGTGGGGGTCCCTGCTGTGGGGCTGGGCCACACTGTACCACACAGCTAGAATCGGCGCAGCCTCCTGCCCCACCCTCCCCGTCCCTTCCGAGCTCACCCCCAGGGACAGCCGCAGAAGCCCCACTGGCCCCCTGCCTCCGGAAGTCACCCGGCTGGCCTGCTGCTCCACGGTCGCCAGGAAGGCCTTCAGGCCGGTCTCTGTGATCCGGTTTCCTGCGCGCACAGGAGGAGGGGTCCAAGGCCGCGGCTTCCGTCTCGAGGGAGCCCAGCCACTGGGCCGAGGCGATCCCTCCCAGCTCGAGAGCCCGAGGCCCGGGGGGGGGGGCAGCCCACACATACGCATGAGGTTGAGATAAATGAGAACGCGGTTGCCTGGGAGAAAGACCTTCCCGTCGCGGTACTCCGCCGGTTCTAGGAGTGGGTTCACCATCTCGGTCGGCTCCGTCACCTGCCCAAGGAGACAGCGAGGCTGCCGGGGTGCCTTCAGGTGCCGCACCAGAAGGGGGGCGGGAAGGGAGCCTGGCCGTGCTGCTTTCAGACGGGGGGAGGGGGCTTCGCGAGGCAGGCATGCGAGGAGGAGTCCGGATCCTTCAAAGCTATCTATTTGGTGCTGCCCACCCAAAGCCCTTCGGCTGTGGGGGGGGGGGGGCTGGGCGTTCAGCCAGCGAGTTCATACCAGCTGGTATGCTGCTCTTTGCGTGAAGAAAACTGGCAGCTGCTCGCGCGGTGGTAGAGGGGCAAGAGCTGAATGGGTGGGAGCCCCAGGGCCGGAGTGGCCGCTTCCTCTAGACAGGGCCTTGGGCAGTGGCCTGGCCTGACGGCAGCCCCCCAGCACAGAGCCCGGGCCTCCTGCTCCGGCGGCTGGCCTCACCTCGACCTCCAGCACCTGCGTCCGCTTGTCTTTGTTGCCAGACTTGGTCCCTTTGCCACGAACTGCCTTCTGGTCGGCAGCCGGAACCGCTGCGAGAGAGAGTGCGGACGAGGGTCAGGCGGGGTGGGCGTCCTTGGGCCGGCCGCTCGGCTGCAGGGGGAGGGGTGTGCAGGGACCTTTCTTGGCTTGCTTGGCATCGTCCTTCTTGGCCTGGGCCGCGGCCGCTGCCTGCACCACTGCTGCGCCGCTCACCTGGCCCTTCTCCTCCTTCTTTGCGGGCTCCTGAAAGACAGAGTCCCCTGTCCTGGGCACTGGCGGGGCCTGGCCGCCGTGGGAGCCCCGGCCATGGGAGCCCCGGGGCCTCACCTTCTTCTTGTTCGTGGCCTTGGTGGTCTTGGCTGCCTGCAGCTTGTCTATGGCCGTGTTGCTGAGGTGGCTGGTGGGGCGCTCGCTCTTGGTCTCCGAGTGCCTCTGAGGCTGGGGAAAGAGGGGACGGCTGACCCTGCAGCCCCTGGCCCAAGCGGCGGCTGAGCCGGCTGGGGGGGGCTCCATGGGCAACGGCTTCGTGCAAGGTTGGAAGAGCAAAGCAGGAAGCGTGTGCTGGGGGAGCCCTGGGCAGGGTGGGCCAGGCCTTGTCTCCCCGGCTGCCCTCCCGACGCTCGGCCCGTCCCTCCCCTTACCAAGCGGCAGCGCTCCTGGCACTCCTTCTCCAGCAGCAGCCGCCGCCTCTCGACGACCTCAGTGTGGGTGAGGGCAAACGGGCCGAGGACCTGCAGGCAAGGGGGGACACGCTCAGCTCCCGCCTGCTGCCCTCCGCACCCGGGCCACCCGGCAGCCCGTGTGCCATCTGGGAAGCGCTGCTGGAGCCCACAGCCCTTCACACCCGATACCTGCCGGCAGCAAGGCCTTCTCCTGCCCCACAGAGGGAGGAGGTTCTGTGGGAAGGGCTGCAGGACGCCCCCGGAGCCCCCCAGAGCCCTTGGGTTTCCATGGGGAGCGGGGTCCTTCCTCCGGACCAACCTCCGCCAGCCTTGTGGCTCCCTCGTCCCCGATCTGGTTGTGTGCCAGCGACAAGGAGAGCAAGGAGCGGTTGAGCCGCAGGCCCTGCAGGGGAAGAGTCCCGCGATCAGGCCGTGGGGAAGCGATGGCCGGGCGGCCGCAGGCATCCGTGCCCCGCTGCGAGGGCCTCTGGCGTCCTCGGCCACCCCCTCGCTGGCGCTCGCGCACTCTGGCCCTGGGGAGGAAGCCGCGCCTGCGTGCCAAGAGCAGCGCGGGAGTGCAGGCTCTCCTGGCCCCACACAAGGCGCTGCCAGACCCCGGCGGGGGAGCGGCACAGGGACTCGTCGCCTGGCTGGGAGAACGCTCTTGCTCGACGCCCCTTTCGGCAGGGACCTGACCGCTTCCACTCCCAGAAAGGAAGGCCCATGGAGCCCCCGGGATCCCCGTGGAGGCCAGGGTGGGGAACCGCAGAGGCTGTGTGTGCCCAGCAGGTGCCCCGCCAGGCCAGCAGGGCTGATGGAGCCGCCATCCGGCCGCTGGGGGGCTCCTTCCGAAGGGGCAGTGGGGCTGCTCTGCTCCCACGAGCCTCACGTTGGCGATATGGGTGGCTCCCACGTCAGTGATGTGGTTGTAGCTGAGGTTGATGGAGACCAGGTTCTTGTTGGAGCCGCGGAGGGAGGAGAGCGCCTGGCCCATCAGCAGAACTGCCTCGTCGTCGATGTTGTTGTTCCGCAGGGAGAGGTGGGCCAAGCTGGGGGCAGAGAGCGGGGGGGGGGTCCTTGTCTGTTCCTCGGAGGGAGGCTCCAGGCAGCTGGGGGACCCCAAGGACCCGTGCGCGGACCGCCTCTGGCCCCTGCCCCGGTCCCTGCTGCTGACACGCATTCAAGCCACGGCAAAGGGATCCAGCCCCAGGGGGCAGGCAGAGTGGCTGCTTCGGGGGCAACGGACCCGCAGTGCCCCCACCCGGGTCTTCCATGCACCCCAGCCCCGCTTGGCTCCTCACTTGGTCTCCTCAGAAATCAGCTTGTAGAACGAGCGCATGGGCAGCGGGTTGCCTTCCAAGGCCAGCGTCCTGCAGTGGATGGGAAGTCTGTGAAGGGGACGTGGAAGGCCCCCAGGCCCCCCCAGCAACCCAGGACCGCTCCCAGGCCGGCCACGGGGGAGAGCTGCACTCACTTGAGTGTGGCACAGCTTGGCAAGATAGAGAGCAGCGACAGGAAGGTCTCGTCCGTCAAGCCGACCTTCCAGAGGCTGCAAGGAGAGCAGAAGGGGAGAGGCACACGGCACCTGCCCTGCGCAGCCGCGCATGAAGCAACCCAAAGCCACACGGCGGGTGGGACCCGGAGGACACGACGCGGAGGGAGGGAGGGAGGGAGGGAGGCATCCACGTTCGAGGGTCCATCTGGCGGGGAGCTCCCAGGCGCAAGCGAGAAGGGGCAGGACAGACGCTGGACGCTCGCGACCCTGGCCCACAGGGCAGAGGCAGCCGACAGGGCCGGAGCGCATGTGGCCCAGCCTTTGGAAGGCAGCGGGGCGGCAACGGAGGACGGCTGGTCTGAGCACAGCCACGTAGCCCCTGCGGGGGGAGAACCCGGACCGCTTCTGCACAGGTGCTGCCGGCCTCTCAGCAGTCCCCCAGACGCCACCTGGCCTCCCCCCTCACTCACTGAATTGCCTGCAGGTGGGCCAGGGCAGGCAGGCATTTGGCGAAGACGGCCAGCATCTTCTCTTCGATCTTCCAGCCTGCTGGGCACAAAAGAGGCGTCAGCGGCGGTCGCTTTGGCCCGGACCCGAGCTCGTCCCCGCACGGAGACGGGCGTGCGGCCTCACTCACTCCGGATGAAGATCTCCCGCGTGCTCCTGGGGTCCTCGTGCTCCTGCTCCACCTGGATGGCGGGGCGGAAGTAGTTGTACTTCCACTGGGTCTGCAGCAGGATGCTCTGCCCCTCCCGCTCGGCCTGGGGGTCGGGCTCCTCTGCGGACACAGGCGGCACTGGCTAGTAATGCCCTGCCCAGAAGCCACCGTCGGTCCCCGAAGAGCAGGAGGACCTGCAGGCCCTGGCCGGGGTCTCGGGGCCGTGGGCCCTGGCAGGACTTCCCCACGATCACAACGTCGTTGGGGCAGCCACATCGATGACGATGATGATGATGCTGAAGAGGGAGGGAAACTCTCCAAGAGACACGAACGAGCAATGGGGGTGCAGGACGCGCTTCCCCCGCTTCACGGAGCAGAGGCCGGCGGGCTCCCGCGCCTGCGCCCGCGCCCGCCTCGGGCTGCTCCGTCGCTCGGTCCGCGCAGCGGGGCACCGGGCCGTGTCCCGCGCAGGGAGCATCGCGGAGACCGGGGCAGGGCGCCCCGCCGGGACACCCGCCCCCCTGCGCCCCGGCCGCTCACCCACGACGGTGACCGCGTGCGGGTGCGGCCGCATCACGACCTTCGGGATCTCCTGGAAGCCGGCGCGGGCGCAGAGCTCCGCGAAATCCTGCTCCAGGACGCCCGTGCACTGGTACTCCTCTGCGGGGCGGGACGCAAGGGGTGAGGCGCCGGGCTCGCCGCCGCCCCCGGCCCGGCCCGGCCCCCCGCGCCGCGCCACGAGCCCCGCGGGCCCACCGTCGCCGTGCTCGGCCTTCCGGGCGGCGTTCCTGGCCTCCTCCTCCAGGGCCGCCGCCGTCTTCTCCTTGGCGCCCCGCTCGCCCTTCTTCCCCATGGCGGGGCCGGGGAGGCGCGGCGCCCTCGCGGACGCGAGCCGGGCTCTTCGGCGGAGCGGCGCCGGGCGGAGCGCCCT